TGGACTCCTGCCAAGGAGAAATGGCAGGGTTTTCTCTGTTCCAAGAGGAATAGGAAATGGAGAAAAACCATGGATTTGCATGATCAAGCAATGCATGGGAAGCAAGTGGCTAAGATGAATTCTGAGATAAGAGGTGACATGGATATCCCCTTAAAGCAGAGGAGTTGCTTTTTTTTTTGAGGTAGAGGTGGTGCCCTTACTTTTTTTAGCACTATCATTTTATCCACATGAAGCTTATGAAATCTACAGAAGCATAGCAAGGTTCATACTCAATAGCATTTCCAAAAGGAACTGCTTCAGCAATTAATACCTTGTCTTGGGCAATGTACTGTAATACGTTTAACTTCTGTATGATGGCTTGGTGCCTTTTAGTACACGGTAATTCTTTCACTGTCTTTTAGTCGTTATGTTCTGTGTTATGTGCTTCAGAGAGGCATTACCAACCACAAGTGGCTTCTTGTATGCCTGACTAAACGGAAGCATCCTGCACGTGGAGTCTGTTTTAGCTTCAGATTTTCCGGAGATGAGGTCCTCATCTCCTTCTGTGGCTGTAGGAAGATATATGCTATTGAGTTGACTGTTCCGTGTCTGTAACCTGAAATTAATTAACAGGTCTGTGAGCAGCAGTCTGTGAGTTAAACCTAAGTCTTTGTAGTGTAAATATCCCGACACTGCAAAACCAGCAGTCTGAGGAGGCTTTATGCGTAGTAGGCATAGCAGCAGAGTTTTTCAGACCGTCAGGTCTTTCAGGGCTTGGGCCCTCTAGTGTGCTGTGTGTTTTCTTGACTTAAAAGTGACGTGCAGCCTAGCAGTACTTGTTTATAACAATGAAAAAAATTGTGGTAAATTTTTATTGGCTCAAGCTGAGATATGAAGAGGGAAGAGGAGAAACATCTGCAGCTGTTACAGCATGCTTGAATTGAAGAAAAACCAGAAAAGCGCAAGGAACAGGCAGCTTTCTCCTTTAATTAAAAGCAGAAAAAGAAAAAAAAACAAAACAAAAAACCCATTAAAAAGTTTTAAGGGGAAAGTGTGGGATTTTCGAGATACATTACCATTATGAGAGAACACTGAAAAGAGTGAAAATAGCCATTTCAGATTACTTTTAGAAATTATTGTGCTCTTCCTCCCCCCCACCCCAAAGTAAGACTTGGCCAAACTGCTAAGAAAGTCAAAAGCTCTTGTTTATAGCTCTCTCTTGGGAAGGGGGTTAATTAGTATATGCTGTACAGGAAATAGTTTGCTGGCTAAAACGCCTGGGGTTAGAAGAAGTTATTGTTTCAGTGTTAGTTAGCTGGTTGACGTGGGTGCTGGCGGCGCACGCTCCCCTGGCCTGTGCCCTCTCACCTACTTTGCTGGGCAGCACGTGACAGCGGAGGAATGCGAAGGAGGGGACGTGTACAGCAGCTTAGGACTGGATTGGCTTTTAAGGAGGAAAATAAGTGGTCAAAGAAAAGGGCTTCAGGAAGTCTTTGGTGTTCAGCCGTCATAATTCAGAACAGCCTTAAAGGCTTACGGTTTTCTTAAGTAAGGGAAAAGGATATGAAAAGGAACAAGCCATTTGATTGTTTTACATCTTAGGGTCAAGCAGTACAGCCCTAGAACTAGGCTTGTCTTTGTCTTCAGGGCTTGTTTACTTGATTCAGGATTAATTCTTGCAGGATTAATATTTCTTCATTTGGGAATGTGAGAAACGTTCACACCTATGTAGTTTTTAAGAGAGGACAAAGTCTGTGAAGCAAAGGTTTATTTCAGCGCTGGGTGCACGGGAGCTCACCCCTGGGATCCTCCTGCATGCACACCGGTTAGTCCAACTTCCACATATTTATTTAGGACAGTCATTCATATTCATACCATTTCTCGGAAGTCTTATACATATTTAAATGATTTCCCTGAAGTTATTTACATCTATTCCCTCCCACTTGCATCTGCGCACTGTTCCCTAGGGGTCTTCTTTGGGGCTCGTGGGGTGAAGGCTCAAAGTCCTCCTCCCGGTTAAACTTCTTATTCCGGTGCTTGTGCTCTGTTGTTTCAGCAACATTGCAAACCCAAGTGGGCAGTTAATCCTCTCTTTCATATACGGGTGGGAAGGTGACATCCAGGAAGAGGCTGATCGTGGCTAAGATCAGTGGTGTCAGCCAAAGCAATGTAAACCTCTCTCTGTCCCCATACTTACCTTAACCCTATATACACATTACCCTGTCTCCGTCCCCATACTTGGGTACCTGGACACTTATGTTCTTTTCGATCGCCTGTCTACTATGACTTAAGCAAAACTACAAATATTATTTATCACAGGAATAAGGAATATTTTTCCTTATTGAAGCTTATTTAATTTTATGGTCATGCTAAGTTTTAATTCATTAAAATATCAGGTTGACTGTTTATGATTAATGCTATTTATAAGCTTTTTCTGCCTTGGACAGTAGAAATGCATATGCTTAAAAAGGGAAGGGTTTCTGAAATTCTTTCTCTTCAGAAAAAGAGAGGAGGAAGGTTACAAATTCCCAGGCTGAGAAGTCGCAGGGGAGTTGAAGGATAATAAAAACTAGTTCATCTGGTACTTAAGACACTGGCATTCAGAATACAAAATTCCCTGAGTGAACCGAAGAACCTCTTGGCCCTTTTTGAGACAAATCCAGGTGCCTGATTCTCTTCATGGGCATATGATTGGTTTTGTTATGTGTTTGTTTTTTTTTTCATCTCAGTCCTAATAGTACTGCTAAGCACATGGTGAATTCTTAATTTGGAGTGCTTTCACCTTTTGCAAACCCTGTTGAGTCCAGGATATACCACGTGTTACTGCCGCCTATCTCTGTTTTATTGCTCTCCTGCAGTTTTGGTCTCAACGTCAAAGAGGTGAAGCATAATTTAAATGAATGAACGGACAGCTGACTTTGACTTCCTGATATGCGTCTGCATCAAGGCCCTTATGAATGAGCAGTTGTTAGTGATGGACTCATTAAGTACTACGAATCGCAGTTGTTACTAGGGCATGCAGGGCTTGTCCTAAAGGTTTTGAAACAGTTGTTCAAAGCTGATCTAGTTTCTTTGTTGTTCTAATCAGGCACTGTACATGTATAGATCAAATTGCCTACTATCTGTATGACACTGAGCTTTAGCTACCCTTCTGGAAACCCAGAAGCCTGATTCACCCACGACTCAGCCTCTAAAACTTGAGCAGTGGCTGATGGATTTGGGAGATCTGTGAATTACCATCAGGCACTGTAGCAGTAGTTGTATTGCAGAGGTTGATCATTGCAGGCTGGTCGAGGGATACACACTTCAAATATTCCAAACAGTCACTACTTATTGGTCAGCAGCCTTGCAAGACGCTGTGCAACAGCACTTACCTTGTTGATCTCTGCCTAATGCTCCTTCTCTTTCTCTATTGTGTATTTATTTCCTAAGCCTACTATTAGTGCAGCATTCCCAGTGCTTATATTCCCTAGTTATCTACTCATACACCTTTGCACCCCTTCTTCGTGCTCCAGATGACTTTGACATAAAAACATTTACAGTCTATAGGAGCTGCACTACAGTCGTAATAAACTCCTTTTGAAGCGCCCAGCTAAACTGCACTGGTTAGCACTTCACGTGCTGTTCAACGAGGGATGAATGTCTACCAGAATTTAGGTTTGATTACAAAGCCTAAGCTTCAGGTTTGCAAAATCTTATCAGCTGTTGGGATTCAAAAGGCATGAAGCAGTTGTACTCTATTTTTATTTTTCTTAAATAGAAATACCAATGCCACCTTAAAACACTTTATAACGTTGTGTTTTGTACCAGTAAAAATGTGAAGTTTAAAATGTGCCCTTGAATCCTGACCTACACGTGGGATTCCTCTACCTTTTTGCCATACTTCTAAGAGGATGTTGTTTTTAGGATTATGCGCGGAAGTTTTGGTAAGCTAATAAATGAATGTGGACAAAAGACTTTAGAATCATGATGGTCTCCTCAGGAATATGTAGTTTGGACTATTTCAATGTTATACATACAGCCTGTCTGCAAAACCCGATGTTCTGATAGTAAGTGCTCAGATTAATAAGTAGGGGTAACTTCCAGGATATTTGTGTAGAGATGCTGGTTATGGAAAGAAAGAAGCTATGAAATGACAAATAAGAGCGTACAGTTCAATTTGAGGTGGCTCTGTCCTCAGAGATGAGACAGAAATGTGTAAACAGAATCACGGTTACATTTCTGTTTTAACTTCCAGTGGTTTTTATTTGAGCCTGTTAAGCCTGCCTATTATGATGGTCTTTTGTCTGTATTGGCACCATTGTTCGTATTTGTTTGGGTAGTTGAACTGAGCTGCAGTTCAATTAAATTTCCTCTTAATTCCAGATTTGGTTATGTGAAGGTGATTTTTCCAACAGCTGTGATTTGGTTTCCTCAACTCTGCATAGTTTTGATTTTGCAGTTATTTACCGGTCAGAACTCAGAGCCACAGGGGCTATAGTGTCTTATTGCCGTGACTAATGAGCTTGAAATTAAGATATGAAAAAACTTCAGAGGAAGGTATGGCCAGGAGCAGCTTTGTTTTGCTAGCTGAGGTGAAGGATTTAAATAGCTTTTGTTTCAAAATGCTAAAAGAAAAAATTCTGAATCTCCTTTATCATTATAGAGTGAGATACTATGTACCTGCGATACGCTTTTTCTAAATATTATGGCTTTAATTTTCTGCTTTGCTCTGAATTTTTATGTATGGCGTGTATGCGTGATGTTCAGCTTGCTGCAATCCTGCCAAAAGGCCTAAGTTACGTGAGAGTGTTTTGCTTCTATTTTCAGCTGTTGTGGTTAGAGGTACCTTAATTAACATACTGGATGCTCAGACTGAAGTGCAAGCATAGCCTGTAAGGAAGAGGCAAGTACTGTATGTAAATCTGGCATGCTTTAAAATATTTCCCAAAATTACTGTGTAGAAGATAGCTTGTTAGAAGTGGACTAACTCCTAGTTCTTTTGACCAAAAATAAAATAATTTTTTAATTTTGGTTTTTGACAGAACTCTCTCTGAAAATGGCAGAAGCTCATCAAGCGGTAGCTTTTCAATTTACAGTAACTCCGGATGGAATTGACCTGCGAATGAGCCATGAGGCTCTCAGACAAATTTACCTATCTGGTGTCCATTCATGGAAGAAAAAGTTCATCAGATTCAAGGTATTTTGCATTTGTCAAGACCACCAAACTTGGGGATTATTTGTTGTTTTATAGGTTTATTGAAGTTTTGGTTAGACCAAACTTTATTTGCCATAAATGCAGAAAAATTAAGTTCCTGATCGCGAAGACTTGTGTGGGTTTTAGTTAAGACAAGGGGTAGCGAGGAAGATGGCGCTGGGTAATGCTGTAAAGACTAAAAGGGTACATTTTTTTGATTTATTCTGTGGAAGCAAGATGATCAGATGTAGAAATTAACAACAGCGTTAATTTACTTCATTCTCTTCGTAATGCATCATGTACTTATGTTTTAGCATAAGTCAGAACTAGTTGTGGTTTTTAGTGTTATGTCACTTAGAGGTACAAGTCTGCGCTCTTGACTTTATGTATTCTTTGCCAAAATTAAATTTTCAAATTAAGGAGAATGTTTGCTCTTTTCAAAAAATTACCTGAACATCTATCTTGTACAAGTTGTGCTAAGTAGTAATGTTTCTGATGATATATTTGATATAGATTGTTGTGAAATTATTGGTTTGTTCAGGTGGTAAGTATCTATTTTGATTCTGATTTTCGGTGTCTTGTTCAGTAGAATATTTTTGCCAGGTATTCGTTTAGAGAGGCCTAACTCAGTGTAAGCAGGAATTATTGAAGCGTCATTCGAAAGTTGCCTGCTGATTTCAGTATTTTTAGTAAGACTTGCAGCAGGGTCGGTTTTATCTACAAAAGAACTTGAAAGTTCCTTTAAATCTTGATACCGTTGTGATGATTTTCTATAGCCAAACTTAAGTAAATCCATTGCCTACTCCTGAGTTAAGCATACATAAGAAAATGTTGGATAATCTTCTTGTATAAAACTAAATGACTTAAATGTGTTGATTTTTGTTTCTTTCCATGGTAATATGAAGTCAACCGCTTTGGTATGAAAAAAATTATGTGAAGGCTTTTCTTTCCAGAATGGAATTATCACTGGCGTCTATCCTGCTAGCCCGTCTAGCTGGCTTATTGTAGTTGTGGGTGTGATGTCAACAATGTATGCCAAAATTGATCCTTCTTTAGGAATAATAGCTAAAATCAACCGAACACTTGATACAACGTAAGTAGACTGAAAAGTTACTGTTCCTCTAAAGGAAAGCAGTTTTATTTGTAGCTACTTTTAAAGCTAATCCTCTTAACGTGTGTCAGTTTTTGAACAGTATGTTTGTGACAGAGTAAGCCTAATAAGCAGATGTAGGAGAGTATGAAATAGGTAGCCTGTTATACCCGTATTACTACATTGTTTTCTGAGTATTGGGGAAGCACATTTGGCAGCTTCGGTGGCCTTTCATCTTGCTGCACGAGAGGCTGTTTGGAAAGGAGATTATGAAAAAGGGCTAAACGGGCATGAAGCTTCTGTAATGCCTGCCTGTAGTACCAATAGGCTTAGGTTCGCAATATTAGATTCTCTTTAGAACTTGAACTGACATTAACTTGTACATGTTGGCTTTGTTTTTTTTAAATAGTGGCTATATGTCAAACCAAACACAGAACATCGTGAGTGGAATACTTTTTGGCACAGGGCTTTGGGTTGCCCTTATTGTCACAATGCGCTACTCTCTAAAAATGCTGCTTTCCTATCATGGTTGGATGTTCGTTGAACATGGCAAAGTTTCTGCAGGCACCAAGTTTTGGATGGTAAGCATGTATTGTCTTCCTGTTTCGTCTTAATTTCTACCTGATCTGTATTCAAAGCTCTAAAAGAGAAAATTCTGTAGGTTTTTTTCCTTGCTTCTGTTTTCTGTGTCATGGAACAGGAGGCTTTTAGGTAGATAATTCTGCTAATTACTGTCATCCTTCTGATGCTATAATTAAACTATTCAGGATGGCCTTGTAGAAGGAAGAGTAAACGCTTCAAGAATAACTTTTGAATTTGTGAATGCCATGGGACTGTGTGACTCAAACACCTGCTTTTTCTCTATATGCAAGTGATGCTGCAGCCGGAAAGTGCTACCCTAATTCTTTGTTGAAATGTTAGGATTCCTGGTCATCCGTTCTAAAATTAATCTTATGCTTAAAGAAAATAACATCGAATGTCTTTTCAATTGATTAGTGGTATGCCTCCAAAATGAGTTGGAGAAAAATTCTAAGGTAAGTAGCTTGTTAGGCAGTTTTCGCATAAGGGTAAGATGACAACGATCTGGCTCCTGTTGATTATTGTGGTGCTTTGGAGAAAAGGATCCTTAAAGGATGTGATAGGTATAAAGTGAGGAAATGTACATACAGATGCTCCAAGAGAGGAACTGGATCTCTGTTACTTGGACTCAGATGTTTCAACTCGCTTTTGCCAGTATTGTTGTAGAAATAACTTAAGTGCCCTGCTATGATAAAATTAGCCTCTGCAGCCTCCAAAATTAACTGACGTGTGTTAGACTAACAACATGTCATGATTTATTATGAAATATGTTCAAGATCAGGTATCCAGACTGGTACGCTAAAATAGAATTAATGTTCATCTGTTACAAATTAAATTTCTGATTAATAGTTTCTCCTGGAAGCGGTATCAGGAGCCTCATGACTCAAATTTGTACAGTACAGGCTCTGAATGGTAAGGCTTTCTGTCAGTTGCTTGAAGCTGTAGCTGTCTGGGTTTTCAGCATGTCCTACCAGATAGATGTTTTAAAGCTGTTAATGCTGCCTTATCAATCTTAAACAATATGAACTGTAATGCTACTTATCATGCTTTGTTGTGTATTGTATTTACAATTTTTTGCCTATAATATATATTGCATATGTATTTTGTTGTGCATTATATTTTGTTGTGTATTGTATATGTTTCAAAATACAGAACACTATAAAAGTGTATGCCCAACAGCGTCTCATCTATACTTAATATGAAGCCCTGTTTTAATACCTTATTCTTTCTTTAGCTAATCCCAAAAAAAGAGAATTAATACCTTATTCTTTCTTTAGCTAATCCTAAAAAAAAGAGAGGACTGGTTTCCCTAGTAAAACAGTACCAACTACCTTAGCTGTCTAGATTTTTATTGTCCCTTAATATTCTCATCTATACTTAATATGAAGCTCTGTTTTAATACCTTATTCTTTCTTTAGCTAATCCTAAAAAAAAGAGAGGACTGGTTTCCCTAGTAAAACAGTACCAACTACCTTAGCTTTCTAGATTTTTATTATCCCTTAATATCGTGTAATTTTCTGGAGGGGTTTTCCTGGGGTTTGTTTGTTTTTCTTAGGTGTTTTTTTTTCATGCTGATTAACAGCATGAAAAAAAAGCTATTGTCTTCTGTTCGAACAGTCATGCAAATCAAAAACCTGAGCTCTGATTTCAGGCACAGTACAAAGTGATTTTTCAGGCTGGTTGGAAGTCTGGTGGCACTTTTAATGAACATATTTCATCTTCTAAAGTCAAATTTCCTGTACCAGGATTAGGGGAAAATTCCAAGTACTAGTTGCCATTTTAAAAAAAAATAATAGTAATCTGTGAACAGGTGTAACACATGCTAGAATGAGACTATTGGCTGTGTCTGCGTATTAAATCGGATGTAATTAAGTATGTGTGCCTGTCAGATCACTTTAATGGTCTCAAACTCTTATAAATTCTCTACTACAAGTTTGATTAAGAGAGAAATACTGTGAAATGTGTTTGCTGGTTTTGGCAGTTGAGCAGGTACTCCCTATTTGAAGATAATTTCAGCCTTTCCTGACTTAATAATTCTGGAATAAAATTGTCTTCAAGTATGGAATGAGGGGTTTTTTATGGAAAGCTGAGCTTTTTTTTTTCTCTCACCTGGCTTCAAATTTATCTTGTCATGAAGCACAACTAGATTCCTTTGGGCTGATGACTGTGGTGCATCCATGTACATCTGACAACTCGCTGACACAGATCTGTTTGCAGGGAGGTCTTTGTTGCTGGTAATACTCTGCAATTTGTAATGATTTTGTGCTGCCTAAAACAACTTCCTCTAGCTGTGCTGACCAAGGAAATGGGGAGGGGGGGAAACCTCTACATTTTCATAAGTAGTTTTGTTAGTTGAGGGGCGGAGATAGAAGGGAGAAGTTCTATAGGAATTTAGTAGTGAAATGACAGCCTCTGTTTTCTGCTGTCTTTAGTCTATTGGCCTATATACAATATATGGTATAGTATATTGGACCAATACTGGATTTTGACAGTAAAGATTCCACTGGATTGCTGATGTAATATTTGACGTTACTTTCATGCTGAAATAGGGCGATAATGTCAAAATCCTTTCTTGGTAGCCTAGAATTTACATGGTCCAGACTTTCAGCCTGGTGCATGTCACCGCTGAGTAGTAGTTATAGACAGAAATGCTGCTTCTGTCTTCAGTCTTCCATGGAGAACGGGAGATGCTGTAATCTCTGAAGCTAAGATGGGAACTGTCATCTCTGGCTTTTTTGTTTTGTTGTTGTTTTTTTTTCCTAACACAAGCACTGAGTATAACACTGGCATGCTTGCACGATTTGGTATGTTCAAATGATGCAGTAGACTACCTGAGATAGACTCATGCTTGAAGAAACTCCCTGTAACATCAATAATAGTATTGATGTTGAGCTATAACTTTGGAAAATATTAAACCATGATTCCAAAGCATAATTATTATTTTGGAAGCTGGCTATAGTTATCTAAGATTCTTAGCTGAGTGATGGGCTTGGTAGTGATTCCTGTTTTGAAGCACAATGTAGATATTTTTGTAGTATCTACTATGCAGTAAAAGGTCAACTGGTAGACTTGCTTTTTCTGATCTTTACAGAGGGAAATGTATGAAGAGCTGTTAAGTAACTCTATCTTTATTTTCTGTTGAGATCAAGGTGTGCCGTTCATAAACAACAATATTGCCGAATGACCAGAAGATTGTCTGAGAATAACTATGACATCTTTCTCTTCCACTGATAGGTTGTGTAACCTCTAGGAAGTTAGTTTATGTCAGTACCTTTTTTTTAATTTGTGAAACAGTGATAAATATGATAGTTTGCTAAATTTAGTACAGTATAATTCACCAGTAAAAAGAACTATGAGTTACCTTACACTTTATTATTCTGTCATTTTTCTTTTGTGGAACTTAATAATTTGAGGTGTGTATTTTGGTTTTGTTTTTCTTCAGGCACTTGTAAAACTCTTCTCAGGACGTAAACCCATGTTATACAGTTTCCAGACATCTTTACCACGATTGCCAGTTCCAGCTGTCAAAGACACAGTCAATAGGGTGTGTACATTCATTAAATCGTTTCCTTCAGTAACATTGAATCCATATGTAGATGCCCTTGTGTGTTTGTTTTTTTTTCTGTGTCTTACAAAAGTATTGCATGGTGGTGTTAATATGGTGTAATGGATTAAAAATTCTGCATAGAAATTAGAATAAAGACTACGACAAACCACTGAAACTGGTGACAATTTGAAGCTGGCATAATTCATATTGGATGATGTGATGTCTGTTATGTAAGACTACGCAACGAAGTGTGACTTCCAGGGCTTTTGGGATATATCGGTTTTGTTATCTTCCACAGTTTTTATGACACAAAACCTTATAGCAATGTGTGTAAGTAGGGACAGTATGTCACAGAAACTGAAGGTTTGATTTTTAGAGATGAAAAAAATACCTCTGCCTGATACTGAAGTAGTATGTCTTCCCTTTTTGAGTGGAAAATGTATCTTCAGAAAAGTAACCTCTTCCACTTGTGATTTGCTGACAAATGTCTGGAAAAAGTTCTCATTTTTGTAGCATACAGGCTAGGGGTTGACCTGCTGGAGGGCAGCCCAGCGGAAAAGGACCTGGGAGTACTGGTAGACACCAAGTTGACCATGAGCCTGCAACGTGCCCTCGTGGCCAAGAAGGCCCATGGTATCTTGGGGTTCATGAGGAAGAGTATAGTCAGCAGGTCACGAGGGAGGTTCTCCTCCCTCCCTACTCTGCTGTGATGAGGCCACATCTGGAGTGCTGTGTCCAGTTCTGGGCTCCCCAGTTCAAGAAAGACAAGGAGCTACTGGAGAGAGTGCAGCAGAGGGCAATGGAGACAATGAGCGTCTCCCTTATGAGGAAAGGCTGAGGGAACTGGATCTCTTCAGCCTGGAGAAGAGCAGACTGAGAGGGAATCTCATCAATGCTTACAAATACCTTAAGGGCGGGTGTCAAGAGGATGAGGCCAGACTCCTTTCAGTGGTGCCCACCGACAGGTTAAGGGGCAACGGGCACAAACTGAAACTCAGAAGTTCCATCTGAATATGAGGAAGAACTTCTCACTTTGAGGATGACAGAGCACTGGAACAAGCTGCACAGAGAGGTTGTGGAGTCTCCTTCACTGGAGATATTCAAAACCCACCTGGATGAGATCCTGTGCAACTTGCTGTAGGTGACCCTGCTCCCTGCTTTGACAGGGGGGTTGGACTGGATGATCTCCAGAGGTCCCTTCCCACCCAGGCCATTCTGTGATTCTGTTTACAGGCAGATGTTTAAAAGAGTGTATACTCTTATTTCAAAAACATAGTATTTGCAGGCTTATGAATTGAGTCTACTGTTCAAATGATTTGTGTAGGAATGGCAAGAAGCTACGAATTAGTTGCTATACTGATTCTGGTTCTTTTCCTGTGTTCTAGTATCTGGAATCAGTTCGGCCACTTATGGATGATGAAGAGTTCAGAAGAATGGAGGGTCTTGCCAAAGATTTTGCATTTAATTTGGGACCAAGGCTTCAGTGGTATTTGAAGCTAAAATCCTGGTGGGCCACAAACTATGTGAGTAGATAAATAGGAGGCTGAGTCGTTCAAATGACATAATTTGTTCCTTGTTGCCTTTTTTTGCTTAACTTTCATTCTTTCTTAAATGTAAAAGAAGGTAATTGAAAACTGCCTAATATTTTTGTAAGGTGCATGGGAGACCACCTGATTTGCACAGAAATAATTTATGTCATTTGGTAAACAAATAGTGTGGTGAATAGAACTTAGAATGAATCCTTGTTTTGTGTGTGTTATTCTGGAGCAGGTGATTTAGCTTTTGCTGTTATGATTGCTTTTAAGGTCTGTTTATTTGCTTGTTAAGCTTGGTAATTCAACAATGGGCCTGACTACCCAGGTAATTTAGAATCATTTAGGACAAGTTTTTTATATAGAGCAGCTAAAGCATATGGAAGAGAAATAAAGAATTGTAACAATAAGGTTTCTTTTTTACCAAAATGAAAACCCAAAGCCTAATATCACAGTGAGAACTGTAACGTAATTCCTTCCTGCTATACTATCTAACATCGAGCTGTACCCAATAGCCTAGGCTGACCTGGCAAAGGCTACAAAACATTGAGGAGATCTGATATATTTTAAATATTATCTGAAGGTGATGACTTCTTCAGAAGCTTATCAGAGAGCTACAGCTGAATTTAATTTAATTCTCTCTCTTTTTAGCTGTTTTCCCTAAAATTTAACACAAATTAGGGGGAGGTGGTTTGTCCTTTTTAAGTAGGGTGGTAAACCAGCAGTTTCCTTCCTGCTTCTGTATGGAATGTTGTGTTGTGGAGTCATTAACATGGAAGACAGAAACTGTGGAAATTATGAGATTTTACTGCTTTTGTTTTCCTTCCTGCTACAGGTTAGTGACTGGTGGGAAGAATATATCTACCTTAGAGGACGTGGACCGATTATGGTTAATAGTAACTATTTTGCAATGGTAAGTAAATACTATAAATGCCTTATATGTCAAAGAAGCACTGTAAAATTTCTCGCAGGTGTCTTATTTCGTGATATCTTTCTGTTTACAAATCCATTGCCACTGAGTTTGTGATCTTTTTTTTTTTCCCTTTCTTCCAGTATAACTTGCAGCCAATGTCTTCAAGTACAGTACTATCTTAATAATAAACTTGGCACATCTGCCACTTAGGCAAACTCGTGCAGTAATGACTTACACAGTTTTATGCTTACTGCGACAAGCAATCTTTCAAAAGTTCCATGTAAAACTTCATGGGTAATTCAATAAGGTGTTTGCTCGTATTCACGGATGTCTGTATGGGAAGTTAAATAGTAAAGGACTCTAAAATTAAAAGCAAAAAGAGGAAATACAGTAGTCTTGGATTCAAGTTTTAAGTAGCACTGTTTTTTCCACTGGGATGATTAACAGCTATCGTGTATGTTTTAGGACTGATGCTGTTTAAGGAGATTGACTGTTGAAATTTTAAGTTTCAAGCCATCAACTCACTGCACTAGTGTGCTTCATATGTTTTAAAGCCTTTTGTATATTGACCGGAATAAACTTTAAGAACGTGGATGAGAAGTACTATCAGTTGTGGGTTTGTTGTTTGTTTTTTTTTAAATGTCATCTGGTAATCATTAACTCATAATTCTTATGTACTTTACAGGACTTCCTTTATTTATCACCCACAACCCTGCAGGCAGCTAGAGCTGGTAATGTTATCCATGCCATCCTGCTCTATCGGAAAAAACTGGACAGACAAGAAATCAAACCAGTATGTATATCAGTTTAAGTGGCTTTTGATCTTTTTTCCAACACAGTCTGTAAGAAGTTGATCAGTTTTCAGAATGGGAGAGGAGAGGAATGTCTTATTGTCAAAACTACATGCAAGATGTAACTAAAGATGTTTGGGACCACAAATTGGTTAGCACTTGAATTGCACATAGGAGAAACTACCAACTATCAAAAATACAGGATTCTGTCATGCCAACTAATTGCGGTATTTGCAATTAATGTATGTATTTGCCCCAAAGACAAATAGAGGCTTATAGTTGTGTATGTTAAATATTCCATATAACAGATGTTACTGGTATGTGCTAAGCATGTAATGGTACTTCAGAGCCACTGAACTCTGAAAAGTCTGTGGTATCATGTAGTATAAGCACAAGGGGTGGTTGGGACAGAAGTCTGGATGTTGCAACCAAGAGTGAGCCAGTGGCAGCCTAAGTATAGATGATGAGAAAATCCTGTGTTGCACTAATTTCCAGGTAGCAAAGACAGGCAAGGTGTGTTCTGTTCTGTCCAGTGGCTGTGCGTTGTAGTGAACACATATTGTAGAAACAAGTAGTTTTGTTGAAGGTCATGGCAAGGATGTGACTAGTTGTATGTAACTACAAATCTGCGAAATGCGAACTTCTGTTCCTACACAGCCAGAAATAACTTTACAAGAAGAAATTAAGCGGTAATGCATGCTGCATGTGTAAGTTTTGCATCCAGGCTGACCTTTGAGAGCTCTTTGGATTTTAGATGCTAGCTAGCTTCAGTCATCCCTCCTGATGGGTGAGCTTTTGGTAGGAGGGAAAAAAATACAGCTACTGGAATGATTTAGGAGGATTACATCTTCCACATGTAGCTCAAGGAAAGTCAATGAACAAGGCGGGGAAAAAAACCCTGAGTTCCTGTATTACAAATCTTACTGTTCTACAGCCTGTCTTTAAACAGATCCTGTTTCTCTTTTCCTTTTTAATTTGCTAATTGTATATGCAAAATTACATTTTAATATACATTTGTGGCGCAGATTCTTCTGATGGGATCTACTGTTCCACTCTGCTCAGCTCAGTGGGAACGGATGTTTAATACCTCCCGTATCCCAGGAGAGGAATCAGGTAAGCAGGGCCAGCCAGGGAGAATAAACATCTTAATGGAATTCAGTTTTTGGGGTATTTTCTGCTAAAATTCTGTTTTTTCCCAGGTAAGAATCTGACAGACACAAAGGCACACCAGTACTGTGTCCTGATACTCAGGAAGTAATGAATTGCTATAGAGTGCATAGATGTTTTTCCTTTTTAGGGTGATTTTGAAACTTCTTCAGTGTTTTTTGTCTCTTCCTTTACTTAAATTAAAAACTAACTTTGAGAAACTGTTGTCTGCCTTTACTCTTCTCCATTCTACTCTTTCGGGATCCTTTGATATCCATGTTTTTATCTTTGTAGAAGTTGTGTTCTCTTGTCTCAACCATTTTAAAGTCTTCTGCTTGCTCGACTTTCCTTTTTTCCTTTCACCTTATGATTCATGACAACATCCCAATACATTCTTCTCAATATGACCATAGGTTCAACACTAGTTGTTTACCTGGTTTAGCAGCAGGTACAGTCTTAGTCCTGTCAAGGTTTTCAACGCCGCTGTTACTTTGACTTTTTGTATGCACTGTAAGACATCAGCCAAGTGAAATCACCTGTAATAAGGACTGCATCCAAAACTTTCTCTGTCACACATTAAGAAAATATGTAGTATGGGTTTTGTTAGTTCCTTCCCTGCCCTACCTCTCAGCAGTGGTCTGATTATCTGAAGCTATGTGTAACTAAATTTTCGTATTTTAATATTGAATAGAGGGACGTAACTTTTGACTTACAGCAGGGTCATTTTCACCTGAGTCTGTTCTTGCAACTTGTGCGTATTGTGGGAGACTAAGGATATGTTTACATGATCACAAGCAATCATGTTAGCTCAGTCAAAAAAAAAAAAAAAAAAAAAAATTATAAGTGACAGTTCGTATCTAGTTTCTCACTGGTGAGAAATACGCTCTCATTGCGTGCATTCATTAACGTTGCCTATAGACATAAAAGCATTTCGCTTTTGTCAGTGGCAAACCTTTGATAAATTGTTGTAGTATCTCAATATAAAAATACCATATTTTTTGATGGTCAATACATCCAAGATCTTGATGCTGATTCTTCTCCATATAGTGTTATTTTTCTAAGGGTAATATATCCATAAAGGTTTATCATGAGTTTCTCTCCAGGGTAGTCTCCAAGATCTCTGTCAGCTTATCCTAAACTTTCTAGGCTCAAGCTGGTTTTTATGATCTTAATATTAAAGTGTTTTGGTTTTTTTTTTTTCCCTGAGTTTTGTCACTGTAAAAAGAGGCAGACTACATCTAGAAATACTAACATTTGTAGTCAAGGGGTGGAAGAAAACATTGCTATCCATTTTCTTGTTCTTTGAGAAGCAAACTAATAATTTCACAGCAGGTTTGAGTGGAGACTTCTGTTATTGTTGTGCTTTCTACAAAACCTTAAGCTAGATCTAGGTTTTTCTGGTCTGGTTATAAGCTGAAGAGCCTCTTAAAACTGAGTTCGTGTGTTTATCCAACACTGTGTCGTTGTGGCAGCATCAGAATGAACTACAGCATTTGGCAGAGTTATCCTGACAGTTGTGATTAGTGCAGAGGACAATCAGTAGGGATTTGGAATGCAAGGGGTTATTGGTTAGTCACCTCCACTGGGAATGTACGGATGTGCTGTCACTTGGAGATAGGGTATATTTAACTTTCTTTGAGATCTGTAACTCTCACTTATATTTCAACCTACCTTTAAGCATATTAGTCCCACTCAACTACAGAACAAAAACCAGAAAGAATTTCTAAACAGACACAGGGGTGTGCCCAGTGGAAGTCTGACATTTGCTGTGCTGTATGAAGTTGGATAAGGAGGGGAAGTGGCATTGGCTAGTGGATAAAGCAGTAGGTGCATGTGTCAGATGAGGATTTTACTCTCAGTTCTGCTGCTGGCCTTTGATAGATTGAGGAATTATTTCCCAGCTATGCCTCGGCTTCCTTTATCTGCAAAATGGAGAAAAACATATCCTTGATATGATTACTCCCTGATCACGACCTAGTACCCTAAGTAGACTAGCAAGTTTTAAAATCGTTATTAGACAACTGTAGCGTATGAGCTATTGTTATTTAGAATACTTCAAGTACTGAAACTGTTACTCTTGCCCCTTCCCTGTCCTCAATAAAATAAAAGATACGAACTATATGCATTTAGCTTTGGATTTGGTGTTCTCTTAGTGTGAAATTAGTTTTGCGCAAGTGTAAAGTGGCCCATTCTGACTGTAACACCTGATTAAAATACGTCCTGTGTATCTTAATGGTTCTCCTCAGTTTCTCCTGCTTAGTCTTTCAAATTAAAGTGCAGTCAGCATCATAAAATTACCTTATTTTCCTCCTAAGCACTTCAATTTCCTATTTCACCTTTTCAGTTTGTCATTGTTTCTGTTTTTCTAAAGGAAAAACAACTTGTCATTCTGTGTGGGTTAAGTGAGTTATAAAGACATTTTTTCCAGATTCTTATGAGTAGTTTGATTTCTTGCCCCCTCATTTCAATTATATTTAAAATATATTTTATGTATGTTGCAGTTCCTAAAGGAACAGCATATTTTTTTTTTTTAAAAAAAAAAAGGAAAAATGAAAAAAAAAATTCTGTGGCATGTCTTCGTGTTAATTGGTGGTAAAATTTTAATGAACATTATATTCTGTCACTTGAGCAGTTGTTTAATCTTCATGTCTTTTAACAAAACAGACCATGGAGCGAACCACTTCTTTTAAGCAGGAAAGAACCTTTATGTCTTTCCATTCCCACTTTTTTAATAGGAAACCCATGCAGCATCTTACATACATCTTCAGATGTATATGAATGACTTCTTGGACTAGCAAGAAAAAGGAAAGGATTGGTTTTGTATTACAACAAATCTGTACTCCAGGTGCATAAATCTCTACTTAGGCCCATAAGTAAGGTGTCTGAAAGGTAATTGCCAGGCCTCAACAACTGTTGTGAAGTCAGTTCACTCAAGAGGTTGTCTTTTTTTGTACGGACACATCATGTACGTGAGACAAATACTTTGAGGTGTCCTGACTCGGGTAGGGATTAGGGAAAAAGTTACCTCACTAGCTAATTGCTTTGCTGCTTCTTTTCCACCTCTGTCAGGATCCTCCTCAATTCACAACCCATGGTATGAATGTCCTTGACAGTTGGAGTGCTGCCTCTGCCAATCCTGGCGCTTTTATCACAGGCATCCTATCTTTGGCAGAAATGCAAAGTGGATAGCCAAATGTGTGATCAGCATAAAACTGCTTCTGATCGGTAGCTGGAACATACCTACCAAAATTTTATGGGTAGCTGGGAGCACACAAAGTATAGAACTCTTTCCTGGGACAATGTTTTGCAGATGTCTCAGAATCATGACTTTTTGGCTCAGCTCTTATTTTTGACATCATATTGCTTCACCATCTTGGTAATGGGTCTTTTCAGATTCATAGAAATATAGCAGTTCTTCGGGGCAGTGAAGGAATCAATTAACAGTTTTCATCAATTGAGGGCTTTTCCTGGCTGATGTAGAAACCTTCATCGGTGGTTTGATAAAATGCCTTCATGACTAAGTTCAGGCTTATCCCAGTTAAGCCATATAAACAACAAAGTGAGGAAAAAAATGTGGCCTAGGTTTCTGCTTCACTGACTTCCATAACACTACATTTTTTTGGCCATAGATGGAGTATTCGCTCTGCACCTGCCAGGATAAATATGAACAAAAGCTTAGGGTACTAAATTTGGGCCCTCTTAAGACTCCCCACAGATTGTACCGTGAGTTGTCTAGCACTTGAATGCAGATGATTTAAAAGTACCTTTCCTCAGACTCACCTAGTGTGTTCTTTTGCTGACTGCTTAATCAGGCTACTCTACTAGTGCTCGCTTTTCAGATACAGAAATACAGATTTAGTTGCTTAATATTGGCCTCCAGTGCGGAAGCTCGTGGTGCTATATATGCAAATAATTACCAAATCTGGGTATTTGACTGTTTCATGCAGGGATCTTTGTGCTAAATAACATGGGGGAGCGGTTTATTCCATGCTTTTTATTACTTTGTTAGAATACATAAGCTGTAGCTAACATCAAATGCCTACTGCATGCACCACCGGTTATTTAGTGCGTTAGAGTTTTGAGACTTCAGCTTTGTTCTCACATAAGTGATTACAATTCTAGATACTCTCCAGCATGTGAAAGACAGCAAACACATTGTTGTGTATCATAAGGGTCGTTACTTCAAAGTGTGGCTGTACCATGACGGTAGACTGTTGAAACCCCGAGAGATTGAACAGCAGATGCAAAGAATTCTTGATGATGATTCAGAGCCTCAGGCTGGTGAAGAGAAATTGGCAGCTCTTACTGCAGGAGATAGGTATGGTGGTTATTATTTTTTAAAATTAATTTTAATATTTAGAAATAGTTGCATAACATACTAATGGAATACTGGCTTTGGAATTTTAAAATAGTCTGCAATCGGTTGATTATACCTTGATCACTGATTTTGTATATTGCTAACATGTTACAGCTCTTCAGTCATTTGTAAGTACATGGAGTTAAAAGTAATGTTGCAGTGGCAACCCTGTATGTAGATTACCTGTGTTTAGCTGGAGAAGTTTCGTTTAATTGTGGTTATCATAAGAGCAGTAGTTGGAAGCTTTACAGTATTACGCATATTGAACTACTTCATTTTATATCTACTCTAGAGTTCACTGGCATTTTAAAGGATATCTTAAAAATTAAGATTGAGAATGTGAATTCAGTAACTGTTACTCCATATTTATAACTTGCACCTACAAAATAAAGCAGTATGTACTCAGTTGGTTCTGGGTGCAGGATCATTGAATTCAATTAAATTGTCACACACTTAGTTCAATCTATAGTTGTTTCTGGACAAGGGAGAGAAAGAGCTTTGGATTTTAGTATTTCTAACTAGGAGTCCTTCCTTTTTCTCACTGTCTGCTTTAAAACTGAAATATTTTTTCCACTGGGAAAACCACATAAATTTATAAATGAACGTGACACAACCATACAGAAATTACTTTGTGCAGGATTTCTTCAACTTCAGATCTGTTTCAGGCATTTACCATGGAACTTTTTGTTGACAATTGTCCAGACTCTTTGATTTATATGGCACAACAATGAGTATTAATGTCTGTTGACTGTTTTCATTATTATTACTATTTTCTTCTTCCATAGAATAGATATTTTCTTTTGTTCAGTTGTGAACATAGATGATCTATGCTATAAGTATTGCATGCTGCAGAAATGTTGAATTTCTGAAGATTAAGCTTTGCACATGTGTTGAATTGGTTCCTAGGCTTACATTGTATGTGTATTTTCGGAACTTTTCACTGCTGATATAGTTTAAATGCAATGAAAGTAGTTGCTTCAAATTTGATTAAAGTAGGAGGAATCTCTCATAGTGATCTTAAGGGTGATAAAACATTGACAAATTTGTGTAATCTGGCTATAAACCAAATTCTTTTTGCAGAGTACCATGGGCTAAAGCTCGACAGGCTTATTTTAGCCGTGGAAAGAACAAGCAGTCCTTAGATGCTGTCGAAAAAGCAGCATTTTTTGTGACATTGGATGACATCGAGCAAGGGTACAGGAAAGAAGATCCAGTGAGGTCACTGGATGCGTATGCAAAATCCTTAATACATGGCAGATGTTATGACAGGTACAGTATTGACTCTGTAACAAACACCTTCTCTTTTTTAGAATTTCACTAATTCAAGTGGCTAATATGAATTAGTGACTTATAAACTGATAAACTTCATAGAATCACAGAATGGTTTGGGTTGGAAGGACCCTTCAAAGATCATGTAGTCCACCACTCTTGCAGGGCAGGGACACTTTCCACCAGACCAGGTTGCTCAAAGCCCCATCCAGCCTGACTTTGAACACTTCCAAGGATGGGGCATCCATGACTTCTCTGGGCAACCTGTTCCAGTGCCTCACCACGAAAAATTTCTCCCTTACGACCTTCTCCCTTCTCCCTGCTCGACCTGCTGGCCACGCTGCATCTTATTCA